GTACAGAGATTATCATCTCGTCCCCGGTCAAATTCTAGCAATCCCCGGTCAAAACCCTGTAAACCCCGGTCAAAACCCGGTAAAAAGTATGCTTTAGTTTGATTATACCGGGGATCCCCGGCCCCGGCCCCGCCCCCGCCCCCGTTTTGAGTAACATTCCCCGTCCCCGGTTTGAGTCTACCAGGGATCCCCGTCCCCGGCCCCGGGACCCGTTTTAGCGGGGAATCCCTGTCCTCGTTCGGATCGGGTGAACCGGGTTTCCCACCGGATCGGGGCGAATCACCATCCCTAGAAACATAATGCATTTGGGCAGCCATCATCTAAGCAATTAATTGAAGATGACATGTGGCTTTTTAGAAATATCAACGAATTTAGAAGCAATTAAAGATAGGTGTCACGTAATGTCGTCGGCGGCTAACTTCCTTCCGTTCTTTTGGGAAAGTCGACTGATTTATTTCGTTTATATTACATTACTCCATATTTAATAATGCATTTATATAAATGTATAATTAATGCTTTTTCGTCTGTTTTCTAAACCTATTTAATAATAGTTTATGTTTTAACTATTTATATTAAATTATAGCGTATTTGAGATAAAGTTTTAAAAAACTATATTTTATGTATTAAATATTATTTATTAATGCATATTTTTAGATTTAAGATTACAAGTAAATGGAACATGAATGTAACTTTTTAAGACTACATGTTTGAATCATATAACTAACTGATAAATATAATTAAATATAAGATAAATATATTATTTTAAATATAAAAGATCTAAAATATAATTAGGATAAATAATTGAATTATAACAAAATAGTTAATTATTATATTTATTGAAAAATATTATATTATTAAACCTAAATTAAATTCTAATAAAAGAATTAAAAAAATTTAATAAAAAATGAGAAATTTTAAATTGTTAATTTTGTATTGATATTAATATGTTTTAATTTTTTAATTTTTAGGGGGGGTTCAAATTTATATTTTATTGAAACATAGAAATATTATGGCTTTATTAAAACCACGTAAACTCGTATTATGAAATCGAAAAGTACAAATAATATAATATAACATTAAAATCGAGATGTATCACGTTGAATTGCACAAATAAATGTTTTGGTAGTTAAAAGTTGGTTTTTTCTTTTATTTCTATGTTTGTAAGATAAGTTCATAAAAATAGTTGGTATTGATAAGGAGATTGAATTAACATGTTATATATATATATATATATATATATATATATATATATATATATATATATATATATATATAGAC